TATATTGATAACCATTTCCATACAAACTTATAGTCAGTCAGTATTAAAAACCCATACATTTTGGCTATAGTTGTGGACCAATGCGAGCGACTATTTCGGTAATAACGCGCGACTAAGCAAATGGTATTTGGATTTAGGGTTTGGAAAGTTGCGGCAACCCGTCGATCATTACGAGTAAACCTATTATTATTTAGTATTTTCATGTTACCCTGATACACTAACTACTAGTTATCAATAATTTGTGGGACCAGTTGGCGAGACCTGAGCGGCGTGGCAGTGGTGAACGCCTACTACCATCAGCTCAAGAACCTGGTGGTCATGCCGGCCGGCATACTTCAGGGAGTCTTTTTCCATAAGGATCGACCCAAGTATGGGAACTACACCTTAATATCAGCCAAAGCACTAATTATACACTCAATTACTCCCTTAAAGTTACCTAAACTACGGGTCCATAGCCTACGTGTCGGGCCATGAGATCATACACGGCTTCGACGACGGGGGCCGACAGTACGACCAGAAGGGAAACCTGAGGAACTGGTGGGACGCGAGCACCGACACCCTATACAAACAAAAGGCCGACTGCTTTATCAGCCAATACGCCAATTTCACTGTCAAGGAAGTGGGCCAACACTTGAATGGCATCAACACTCAGGGGGAGAACATCGCCGATAATGGAGGGGTCATCCAGTCGTATAGGTAGGTGCTTAGGTGCTATCTGGGTGGGAGGGTTTGGTGATGGTTAATATACGTAGCATTTGTGATAATTATTTTGTTGTTAACCAAGGGCGTATCAAAATTATGTGCGCAAAAATGGTGTGGAGTTACCGCTACCGGCGCTCAACCTGAGTCCCGACCAACTGTTTTGGGTGAGCTCTGCCGTACAGTACTGTTCCAAAGCCACCGACCAGTATCTGGCGCTTCAGGTGATGACCGATAGCCACAGCCCCAGTAGACAGAGGTTTGTATTGACTTTACATTACCTAGTATACATTATGATAACGTATTATAATTACTATAACTAATAGTTTTGATTTTGTTTCGCATTATAAAATAGTCGGTAGTTTTCAAGCATTATTATAATTATCAGAGAGTTTACTCATTAATTTGTATTACCAAAGTGATATAAATATAATTAATTTATTTTGTTTGTATGATTACAGAGTGAATGGAGTGGTATCTAATTCCGAGGACTTCTCCCGATTATTCAACTGCCCATTGGGTGCGCCTATGAATCCGGTGGACAAGTGTGTCATTTGGTAGACATACAGTATATACATATAGCCAGGTACTCTAACTTTGCGTAGAGTCCGGTGCCTATATGAATACGCTAATATTTATTTATATGTATTGAATTTAAGTATTATAATTTATTTTAAACTATAAATAGTAGTGCATTTTGTTTAATTAAATCGATGTCCATGTGATCATATATGATTTAATTAAATGCAATGAATTATACAATAAAATTAATTTATACATCAAAAGGTTTATTTGAATTAAATTTAATGTTTGTGTTTTAGAAATACTTTTGAATTGGGAAAGTATTTAAAATATAAATATAAAAAATTTTATCTGAATTAATGTATAGTGAAAACTGGTCCCAAACCCTCTGACCCCTCCATTTCCAGTGTTGTATAGATAGGTATTCCGATTGCATCCAATTTAACACGTAAAACATGTTTTGATTTATATAGTACCTGTCACCAAATGGTAAAATAATCAGTAAAATGACTCAAAGAAAACTTTCTTATCGTTTTCACTTAAAACAAAAAACAAGTTTACTTTTTAGTGTATATTTAGGAAATGAGAGCTTTTTGACAACTTTTTATTTCTCTGAAGTTCATTGCCATCAAAAATCTTGACTTAAAAACAATTAGTAAATATTTTTAACCTCAAAAACTTGATAAATATAGTAAACTCATAATTAACTCACAAATTGTCCCCTCATAAATTTTAATTTCTACACACAGTAAATTGAAAATTTTAAGTTCAAATTATATAATTTTTATTTATGTTCACAAATATGATTATTTATAGTTGCGTTGAAGTGTATTTACTTTACTATATTATTCACGTGTTTAGTGTTATTCAAGTCAATAGTAATTTATTAGATACTAACAGTAGTGTCAAAGTAAATCATGCTAGCTACAATAATCAACAAAATTTATGCCTAACTCCTATTTGTATTCAAGAAGGTATGTATTGAAAATATTTTCAAATTA